GAATGGCAGTCAGTACCCCTGCAGGAGCTAAAGCACCCCTGCAGGGTCTGCAATAGCCCTGCAGGAGCAGAAGCACCCCTGCAATAGCCATGCACAGGCTGAAACCACATCCTCGAGCAGGTTTTCCTCCTGCTGTGTCCTCAACAAACCCATCGCTGCCTCCCAAAGGGAGACACGTCCCCTCAAGGGTGGGAGGGAGCGCTCGCAGTGTCCTTGTCCCCATGCCCTCTGCTCTGTCTCCACCAAGACAGCCCAGCTCCAGCCTGGGAGGGAAGTGCAGGCGCTGCTCCATGTGCTGCTCTGGAGAGCAGGAGATGGAGCCTTTGGGGTGGATGAGACATTTCCCCCATCACGCTCTTGGTTTCACTTTCCTCTCTCACAGCTCTCCCCCTTCCACCTTTGCTTTCAACACCGGCAAGTGTGGCAACACCGACGCCGTTGCCCAACCCGAGCGGGCTTGGCTGGTTGGGGTTCCAGTTTTGCTGACCAAAAGTGGCTATTTCAGCTGACAAACAGCCCGATCCCTCCTAAACCCCATCCCTCCGGCTGGGAATCCCCCGCCCTGTTGCTGCCATCAGGAGGAGCATCCACCAGGCGAGCACAAGCCTGACATCCCAGAGCACCACAGGGTTTAGCCGCTGCTTGTGCCGTGCCCTTGCACGATCCCCCCTCTCTGGGCACCCACAGAACTGGTTCCTGATGCCTCCCAACTGGGCAGAGTGGCACAAAACTTGTCCCCTCGTGTCATCGTTAGGGAGGGGACGCAGCTGGCCCCATGTCCAATGTCTGTGGCTTTCCAGGAAGGAGCTGCTTGGAGCTTGGGAGCAGATGGCAACCGCCCCCCCCGGCACCGGTCCCAGCCGAGCTGCCAGCTGAGACCCGGCCAACTCGTCACCCCGTGTCACTGCCGCCACCCCACCGGGCATGGCTGGGCCCTGTCCGTCTGCCCATCTGCTTTACAGACCCCAGCCGGGATATGGGGCAGCTCATCCCCCTCCCCAGCTCCGAGCTGGAGCTCAGTGTCCACCCAGTGCCACTCACCCCATGGGGATCACCCCATTCCCTGCCTCCATTCCCCTTTGGGGAATAATGGTGATGGAGGCGGATATGGAATCACTCTGCACCCAGCGCCATGGGGACAAGCCAGGGTGAAGGTGGGTCCCCAGCACCCAGGGGTGCCAACAGCTCCCCAGGAAGCATGCGAGTGACAGAGGACCCCATCCGGCACCT